GGACCACCAAAAAGAATACCAGGTTATTTCCAATCGACACATTGCTGAGCGGATTAAAATCTATCCGATTTCCTGGCAGTTATGAATCCGGTCTCTGTTTTTGATAGTGCTGAAAAAAGTTAGTGGAAGAGACGGGAAAAATGACACAAAGGTGAATAAGTCTGAAATAAAAATTAAGCTATTATGAAATATTCCGTAAATATAGAAAGTGAAACGAGAACAATCTAACCCCAAGGATTTAATAAAGGGCTCGTTTCAAAATTCAAGATTAATGAAGGTGACAGACACCTGAAGAAGGATGGAAAATACAACAGCCAAAACGTTGTGAGTATAACAACCAAAATGAGCATGCTGGATCGAATAGCATAACATATACTGATGAAAATTCTTAGGCTAAAAGATGCTGACAAGTAAGTGATTTAGCTAATAAGAATATATATATATATATATATATATATATATATATATATATATATATATATATATATCATGGGTTTAATTTAAAGTTTTAAAGAGTTTGTTTTCTAGAAGGGACATGCGAAGAAAGTCTGAAAACTAGATACAATCATATAGTAATTAGAATGTCCATTACTATACACTATTACTATTGTGAATGTGTTGGCAGCAACTCTGCTACTAATCACCATAGAGATCAAACGTGTCACATGTCGATGCGCGAATAAATAAGTGCTCTCCGCGAAGAGACATGAAACACTTGGAGCCATCCTTATCCCTTTGCATCAAAGGGACCATATGAGTAGAAACTCTTCTCGAATAAATATTGTTTGAGGAGCCCAAGTAGACAATACTGTAAAGGACCTAAATCAGGATACAGTAAAATATCCCAATCATATCAATGGAACTATTCTTTTCAGCGAAGAAACTGATATCAACTTTATTCTAAGATACAGGGGTGTGCTGCTTGTGGACTTCATACCACATGGTCAGATAATTATGTCAGATATTGTGAAACACGAAACAGACTGTGGGAAGCTCTTCGTCGAAAGAGACTGACGTTTTCGCAATGCCACCCAATACAGGAAGAATCTGACAAGATTTTAGCGAACGTAAATCTCTTTTTCAAAAACTAATATCTCCTGTTCTATATATTTTATGTTTTTATATTTTATTCAGAACGTTTTTCACAACGGAATAGACCATTATTTATGAGGTATTGACAGGAAATAACGGTTGTACCAACTCACGAAAGGAGAGACAAACACAATTATAATAATAGTATAGGATTCATAACTGATATTTATTCGTACAAAAAGTACAAATTGTGGCACGGGGCCAATAAAGGGGAGGGGTAGAGGCTGGTCAACACTAACTATCTTATACCTAGCTAATCAGATTCGCGACCCATTCGTACATTACATTTTACTCATTCACCAAAAGAACTCGTCTATCACCAAACAAGCCTTCAACCACCATAATACCACGTGCTCTCAAGGGAGACCTACCAAAATCGCGCCCCATGCCATAAAAATTTTAATGATGATATATATATATATATATATATATATATATATATATATATATATATATATATATATATAATTCTAATAATGATAAAATGAGAGGGAGGAAATGAACCCAATAATAAACTTAAAATAAACACAAATAAAAACTAAACATAATTGATGTTAGTAGGGACCGTCCAACCCATAAAACAGAGAGACCGCTGTATTCTGCCCAGGGACAAAATCAAGAGACGCTCTCCACTAAAGGGAGTGGGAAAAAGGATAATAAAATATTAGGCTGGAATGGGAAAATATAAAACTGACCCAGTCGAGATGAAAGGGAGGGGTCAAAACAAACTGGGGAGGTTGGGAATCTCGACTTGGATCATAACCAAAGAACGGCCGGGATGCAAGCCAGGAACAACACTTACTCACATTAACTAGGTACACTGAAGCTTGTCTAACCTAACCAAGGGAGGGTTCCACAGGAAGCCACCCCGATGTGCAATAGGTTGACCTAGAAGAGAAAATCAAGGCTAGCCCCGTTCACACGAAGCAAGCTCGCTTCTTTTACCCACCTTTCGCTAAAGACTGTCGAATGCAATCGTTTTCTATCCGATCTAATCTTCATCTTGAGCTGATGCTCAAAGAATCGAATTAGATCCGAATGAGAAAGACGATTGCCTCGCAAGACTTCCTCCTTTCGCGTCGTCCAAATCACCATTCGAGCCGTGGCCATCAGCGTCAGAAACATCATCCGTTTCATCCCGGAATACGGGGGCGACACATTGTCACACGCGTATGCGCGATCAATGGACACAAGCTGTTCGGGAGCGAGACGAGCCGTCAGCTCGCCAACATGGTCCCATAAGGGGCGGACCTGGGGGCAATGGTAGAAGGCGTGCGCAGCCGTTTCTTCTAAGCCAAGGCCACACCGTTCACAGTCTGGCAAATCCGCCAAGCCCCATATGAAAGCCATATGTCGTTGAGAGGCAGCCGATTCCGAGCCAATCGCTAGCTAAGCGAAAACTCAGGGTTACTGAGGTAATCCGCCGCTGGCGCCCAAGACCAGTAGGAGCGAAACTCCTCCTCCGACATGCCGAGCATATCTCGTAGGGGATCCTTCGCGGGCCTCTCCACTAATTCACGATAGAAGACCTTACTAGGCCGAGAAAAGTCACTGGACCGGGGAACGGCCCTCAAGGCCGACCGACACTCGCGAAGGAAAACCGATTGATCCCGGGGTTTCATATTTCATCTTTGACTGATATTTTTCCTGTGTGAAAAATATTACATTTAGCCGAAAAGTAGCGAATATTTTTGTATCGATTCAGTTGAATTTATTTCTGAATTATTCTAATGGTTTCAGATAATTTTTAATTACAGTGTTTGAAAGTTTTATTTCTGATAAGCAACAGTGTGTAAATAACGAGATAATTAGCAGAAGTAAATATTGACTTTTGAAACATTCCTTCTTCTTTAAAATCGCAAAAATTTATCATATAACACAAACATTAAACTCTTTCTAACAGCAATAAAATTTCAAAATAAATTTTAATTGCACATTGAATAGCACAACCTCCTTAAAAAAACAGTGGGTGTGTTAAAACTTTTGAGGATACTATTGCTATAAACTAGAAAATGTTACTGAATAAGGAATAACCAAAACGGATGTTGGAAATGAAATGGTAATCTTTATGCCATCAACAAAATACAATACTCGCCAGCGGTGTGAAGTAGGTAAACCACTGCTAGTGGTGAACTACTTAGACAGCATATTACCCCCACTTACAATAGTGTCCAAAGTATTTATGAGGACTGGGACCTACCCATTAGTGTACGGTATACAACACTTACTGAAATAAAATTGTACTGAGGAACTCGAGAACATCATAGAATCTCAACAAGGTAAGTGACGTTCTCTTCAATATTTATCTTGGAGACTGTCTCAGAAGAATGAAAAATGAAATCAAAAATAACATCTCACATATAACATTCATAGTGCCAAATTGAGAAAGCAAATATACCTGAAAATATGATCTACACAGGTGATTTAGAATTTCTGCCTTGAGCACAACTGAGACAGTATTTCTGAATTGAAGAGGAAATATGAAAACAGAAAAGTGGAGAAATGTTAAGTGAGAACTTTATTAGGAAATCACGTAAGCAGCTGGCAATCACTCGTATGAATAATTTGAAGAAGATATGGATTCGTGAAAAGCGTCAATTGAAACTGGACAACGCGATAGTATAACCAGTATTGACATACAGTTAAGCTACGTGGGAACTAACAACGAAGGATGTAGAAAACTCGAATCATTCCATAGAAAATAGTTCATCTAATTGGCAAAAGATACCCACCTAATCATTTCCAATTCCAACTTATACAAGAGATGCAAAACTTACCCGATCTCACTTTTACGACGGAAATTATTTGAACATTTTCGTCGATTAAATGTGCAATATTCTTCTCATAAAGATGTGCGGTTTTATTTCAAGATCGCAGAAAACCGCGAACTACTATCGTATACACATGATAGACGTCATTAAAAGAACTGTTAATAAAATTCCGTCATTCCCAGGATATTTGGAGAGGACTCATGTACATAAGAGTTAAATGAGAAATGACACTGACTTGCAGTTTGCCTTCAAGTCGAAACAGCTCTGATAATGATGATGATGATGATGATTGAGGAATTGCCAACAATGTTACTATACACTAGGGTCGATTAATAACAACATTTTTGCATTTAGTAATACCAATTTGGCTGAGTATCATGTTTGCGCGTTTTTCTATATATAAATTTATATCATGAATTTGATTTGAGGCAATAATATTGGTTAAATAGGAACTTTCGTTTACCTATGATGTATTGCGATCAAAACGCGAGGAAGCCATAACAACACGATTTAAACGAAACGCAAACGTTAATTCGTTTTAAATATTGAAACATGAGAATAGTCCACCAAAAACGCCACAACTGAACAAACAAGAAACGATTAATTCTGTGGTGATTCTTGTTATAAGAATTAAATTCGCCGTTATTGGGTTGGATTGTTAATTACGGATTTCAAAATGTCTAGTTTATCGCGAACTCAATCTTACTATGGAACACCAATCAAAAAGATGCCTCCAATTCTTCGGTAAGAGCAACAGCAACTTTAATCTTGCATACCTTTCAAACTTTAACTGCAGAAACGACCGCTATCCATACTAGTGTAGTTTTGCACACGCTCAACTTCAAATTACAATAAATGACTGGCTGAAGAAACATTTAATGCATAAATGTAGCTTAGCGAGTTTCAGAATGCAAACTTAAAATATTTTTGTGCATTTGTTACATGATTTCCAAATGACTTTTTCCTTTAAGAACACGTCACCCACTTCCTTTCTTCTAATTGTATCAATAAAACAACTATATTTTAACAATCCTCTTCTTTTACATTACATGCTCATACCTATTTTCTTTATCAATAACAAATATTTTATGGTTTGTTCCCTGAATTATCTTTATTTTTAAAAATATATTTTTACAGAAGAAGGACGGAATTCGGCGAGTTAAAGCCAACAAAAAAAAGCAGTGGCAATCTTGAACAGGTAACGCGACTGAATTAATATTTTTAATAGTTGTTTGGTATTCAGATATTAACATATTTTAATGAATTTTATGTGCTATTCCTATGCAATTTAATATTGTTTACATAGCGGCATATATTGTAGGAGACGATACCATGAACTTTAGCTTAAAATTTGGTATTGTAGTACGCATACACACACGTGTGTGTGTGTGTGTGTGTGTGTGTGTGTGTGTGTGTGTGTGTGTGTGTGTGTGTGTGTGTGTGTGTGTGTGTGTGTGTGTACAAAAAGAAGAAAGCTGTTTTTAAAGGTAGCAGTTATGCTAGGATATGTGTATGAGATTTAAAGTTTGTTTAAAGAGAGCTTTCCCTCTACGAAGGCCATATTTGGTTGTTTTTTTTTATATACAGGGTGGTTTGGGTAAATTGTCGCCATTATATTTTAAATTTCGCGTTTGTTGTTCGTTGCTTGTTTTTCATTTTGTTGGTTGCACAGTATAGGAGGATCAGTTGGGCCCTCACTATGAGCAAACTACCGAATTTTGTTTGTGCCACAACACGGAGGCCTACCTCCTCAAGTACCTGGGTCAAATGGGTGGTTGCTGGAAGACCCTATGTCTGGCAACAGGACTCTGCACCATGCCACACAAGTAGGAGAACCCAGCCATGACTATCAGTCAATTTCTCCGACCACATCACTCCTTACATCTGGCTACCTAACTCCCCTTGCAACACCCTTGATTATTATGTGTGGGATGCAGTTGGGTGAGATACCAACAAAACTCCTTGTTCCATCAAAGATAACTTGAAGGCAAGGATTATGGAAGCATTCACCAGCTTAAACAAGGAGACCCTCCAGAAGAGTTGCAAGAGATTCCAAGACGTCTGGGGGCCGTGATTGAAAAAAATGGCGATTTTATTGAATAAATTTACTCTTTAGTATTTCAAGATATTTTTGGGAAATTTTGTTAAATATATCTGTTAAAATGAGACGTCAATGTTACTTTCATTTTCGCATAATTTCGACGATTATTTATCCATCGTGCCCTGTATAATATATATTATATAATATATATTATTATACAGGTACGATATATATATATATATATATATATATATATATATATATATATATATATATATATATATTTCTTTTCATTATGCCCATGGAACTCATCTTACGCTGTGCAGCAAAGAGAGTAATGTCTGTGGAACAAATGGTTTTTCCCCCTTCCAGAGTGTTCATGGATAACATCACCATTCTGGTCTCGTCTAAGTTCTGATGAACTGCTCCATAAGCTCTTCACGTCGACGAGAATGAAGGCTAAACCTAAGAAAAGCCGGAGCTTAACATTACTTAGAGACTCTTTCAGGGAGATTAACTTCTGCATTGGGGGTGGGGGTTACATAATCCCGACAGTCAAAGAGAAGCCAGTGAAGAGCCGAGGACGGCTGTATGAAATTTCACTGACTGATCGACACCGATCAGAAAGTGGCACTGGATGGACTTGAATCCATCGATAGAAACCATCTCTACGACAAAATAAAGGCTTCGTGTTACCAACTTGGTTTGCTGTCCCAGCTTCTGTGGCTGTTGCAGGCGTATGATATTGCTGCGTCTCGCATTCAGCAGACGTAGTAGTGTATCAACAAGTACCTGCACAAGTGGCTTGAAGTTCTCCCCCTGATTCTCCACAGTGAGACTCTATATCAATGCTGGAAACCTCCAACTTCCCATCTCCTCAAGTTACGCTTTCACATGATGATGAGGGGCTCGGCCGATTATTTCGTCAGCAGTTTATTGCCAGATATCAAAACATGCACCAAATTCTCACCAGTATAAGCCACTCAAGAAGCAGAATCCAGCCTGCGAACCAAAGAGATTATGGGGGTGACCAAAACCAATTGAGCTGGCCTGGGCCACGCAAGCAACTAGTTTAGGTATCTTCAATACCTTCCTAAAAAAGAGCATACCCTGATAAAAAAAGGTCCCAAAGTTGATGAACAATTTTTTTCGTCTAAATGTTTATGTTATTATTAAGAGGAAAGACCAAAAGTATTTTTTGATTATTTTTTAATTATTTTTTTACATTTTTAACCCTTCCTAACATGTCCGAAATTTTAGTTAAAAATCTTTTTTTCAGTAAGCAAAATTGCCATAAAATCGATCATGTCAGCCATTCTTATATATATATATATATATATATATATATATATATATATATATATATATATATATATATATATATATATGTGTGTGTGTGTGTATTTAGGCAGCATTTTTTCATTAATGCATGTTTCGTTAAATAATATAGACAAGTTTTGTCTATTTATTTTAAGTAAATTCCTTTCATATTGTCGAATAAGCTTTTTAGTATTATCACCGAAACACGAAAGAAAATCACCATGTTGATACATGATTTTATTGTTAATCCTGTCTAAGCTTTCGGCTTACATAAGCCATCATCAGAGATTACAAGTACATTACAATAAACTAAATAATAAATGAAATAACAAAGATGGTAATTTTTGTTTTAGATTGGTTATGCGGACATTGCAACAATTTATCGTTGCCTAGCAATCTTCCATGCATACAAAACAAACTATCAGCCTAACTTCCCTCTCTGTCATATTCCAAATCCTTATTCCGGTTTGCCAATTAACCAAAATCATCAAACCAAACATACCTAGTAAATACTGTATTAAATCAACTCATGAACTAATCCAAATCTGTCGTCAGACGATTAACGATGGAAATAGTGGTAAGAAAGTTAATAAAGTTTGTTTTTTTTTCATTATTTCATTTAGATAGCATTAGTAAATTTGCACCTTCGGGTACAGAGCGGAAAAGTGTCTGTAGTAAATAATTTAAATTTCTTATTTGAAGTTAAATTGTGATTTTATTTGAAAGATAATAGTCTAAATTTAATCTGTAAAAATATTTTACGTCCTTAAATAAAAATTTTAGAAATTTTCAAAACAAGAAAATAAAAGTAAACACACCTTATTAGTGAATTTAATGGATGCCTTGTTGGCATCCATTAAAACAATTTAAAAATCTCTTTAAAAAATCAGTATCTATTTCTGACATTTGTTTTTTTTTAAATAGTAAATTTAAGGATTTCTTAATTAGATTTTGTTTATTACTTAAGTTTTGCAAAGAATATAACAAAAAAAGACATTTTCCTCACTTGTCATTTAAAGATCAGAATTGTTATCTTATAAACTTGCAACCTTCTTTATAAGAAATCAAGTAAAATACAGATGAGACCATCTAATACAAAACTTTGTGGAAATATTTTTCAGACCAGTTACAACCTCTTAACAAAGTGTTTTCTTTCTCTTTACTGTATTTCTAACATTATTATAATAACAACAGAAATCTTATTAAACAGACAAAATACTATCAGCATGAGGAGATAAACGTTCATTAATTTTTTGTGACCCTGAAAAAAAAATTTTTTTGTCAAGGAACATAATTCATAATTTTATTTAGATTTTCATTTATGATCTTAGAATAAAAATCAAACAAAATGAAATAATTAAATGATATTATTCTTTTTAAAAATGTGTACCCACGAAAATGACATTAAACTTTACATTTTTTATTCTTCAAACACATTTTTATTTTATATTAAATTCATCAACAACGACCAAAATCTGAAATAGTTATAAAAATGTCAATTCTACACAAACAAATATAAATCAGAGATGTTCTTGTCCTGTGGAAACCAAAAATATATCTAGTATATTTTATTAAAATTAAGTATCAGCACCTCTCCACAAAAAAATTATTTGTGGGTTTTTCTTGAATTCTTTTCTTGCTCACAAATGATATTAAATATTGCTAATGATAACACCTTCGGGAATTTAGCTTTATTAAAATGTAAACATTAGGAAAATCCAAAATTCACTAGTAAGAAATATCCACGAGTAAAATGGGTGTATACTGTATAGTATAACTGACCAGAAGAAAATACTCCCAAAAACTTAAATAAAAAAGATTCCTCAATAATAATTCATTAATGAATAAATACTGAAAATTTCAATGAAATCCAATAATTCACCGATTTTTTGAAATTTTTAAAAACAAGAAATATTCTTTGATATTGTTTTATTTTTCCACGTATCCAAAGTGAGCATGATTTTGGTGATACCTAGTCTTTTAGGTGTCCTAGATTTTAATATCAGCGTTACATTACTGCGCGACATAGGCGGTGCTGTAGATCCAGAACTGTGATAGCTATGAAAGAGTTGCATGAAAACTTTTATAATACATTCAAAATACTTTAGAAAATAATAAAAAGTGGAATGAAGATATAAAAATGATTCTGTATTAGCGAAATTGAATAACTTCACTTTCATGCTTTTCGTAAACTGTTTTAATAGTATGAATTTAATGCAATAATATCACAAACTGACTATTTAGTGTCATACAATTTAAGCAACTGCAGTTGAAGTATTCTCGGGGTAAAATAAGTGATTTTATTCAATATTCTGAAATTTTATACAATGATGAACATTATGAAAATATTGTCCAAGAAAAAATGATAGCTATTGAGCGATTAAATGTATCGGACCTTCATCGCACCAGAAACAACAGCAAATGAACCATAAAATGACATATTTCGAAATAGTTCAGAATATTTTACTGTCTTTGAAGTAACGATTTGCTATAATTGAAGTATTTTATATTTAGAAGTGATGTGAAGTGTTTACCCATAAATATAAAAATGTTATTACCTACTAAATCTAACTTCTTGTACCAAACACAAAAATCTAGTTAGTAAGAATAGCAAGTCAAAATAGGCGCAAAATAACAAAATAAAACTCAACCACTGCGTAAAATTTTAAAGGAAAAAACTTTTTTGTACACAATTACGAAAAAGGTAAAAATCCAAAGATTGCTCGAAAATTTACTCTAAAAAATTTAAAGGCAGGATAACAATCTTTGAAAGAAAAAAAAAAGAATTACCGTCGATAAATGGGGAAAAAAGTTATTACAGTTTGGGAAAGACAAGGATTCAATGACAGAAAAAGAAAACAATTCAATAAGACAGTAAAACAAAGGTGCAACTACGTTTTAGGAAAAAAAGAAAACATCTACTTTTCCAAGTATCTCTTGGACATATAGTAATGTTAAAAAAAGAGTCCCTTTTAAATTCATTGTTCGTTCTTTGGGAAAATCTAATTCTTTTTCGTTCTTTGTTGTCAAACAGCAGAAGAAATTTCACTTTGTTAATTTCAAGGCTCTCTGCAACAGTTACCAGCCATTGCTGGTAACTGTTGTCTTCTCGCTTGTCGCTTCCTTGATGTCAATTTACCTTATCCTATTGCTGTTAAAAAGTCTTCAGCTTCGTCCACTTATTCGGAAAAATAGGTTCACACCAGGCCGCCATTCGGCTTCTTACTACGGCTTTAGACTATGTCTCTCATTGGTCAGTATATACGAAAAAATAATTTTCCATAAATTGAAATGGATTCTTAACAATTTTGGCGGTTTTTAACCGCTGAGCCTAAAAAGATATACAAGTGTAACAATTTTTGACACAAACCATTTGGCTTTCATAAAAATACACTTTCCTCAATAGAACCTGTTTTAAGAAAACAAACTAGACGGTTAAACATTTATTCAAGACTAACATTTTTAAAGTAGTAAAAATAATTTTTTATATACTTTTTATATACATGAAATGTATATAGATGGTTTGCAGCACAAATACACTTTTTTAAATTAAAGTCCTTCATAAATGAGCTCAGATATAAAATGATTTTAAAAATTGTAAGTCAAGCAATGTCATTTTACAGCTACTTTATAACCTGGTTTTCTTGTCTGCTTTGTTTGAAACTTAAACTCTTTTAACTTTTCCTGATTATCCATGCAACATTAGTTACAAACGAAAGAGTGATTAACACGAGAAATGGAAATTAAACATATATTCATTTTTCAACTTTTTTTGCTCAAGTATATCTGATATTTTTATACTCTTCACTGTGTTTTAAAACACAAATAAACGTAAATGTTTTTCTACTTGTCAGAAAATTATACAAATCAGACGCTTTCTACGGGAAGTGGCCTTTAAGTTAGAACCTTGGCGCGAATCAGTAAAGGCTATTGAAGGTTAGTATCGAATTACGAAACACTAATTTTTAATAGTGTATTATAGAGACTGGTTATGTAGGGGATATTTTTATTTCTAGTTATTATTAAAAAACTTAGATATATTTTTCTTGCATTAAAACTCAATGTGATCATTTCATAAAATGTTTATCGCTTCAAGAAGGCTTTGAAAACCTTTAAATAGTTATGTCAATCACGTAAACTTATTTTGCTTTCCGTCAACATTATGAATGCTTTTGTGTGAAGCAACAGAATCGCCCGCAATAGATTTAGGTGATTATTACGATGTAATTTATAATCCTTCCTATCTGTTCAACCGAACAGCTGTAAAGATTTCAGCTGGTCGGTAGCCACCGCCCCATATGAGGGTAGGTGTGGCACAAGGCCGAGTTTAACGGATTCCTCTCTGCTCAGGCAGAGTTCGATTGTTTAGCATATGGCACAAGGTCGGGTTTAACGTGGGTTTCCCGAGCCCGTAGGCTCGGCCAAAAAACGCCCGTAGGCTCGGCCAAAAAATGCCCGTAGAACCCTTATAAACGGGATCGGGTTGGTCAACCTCCCCGAACGAGACTCTGCCCTTCGGCTGAGACTCGTCCGGTTTCCTCTCTGCTCAGAGGCAGAGAGTTCGACCGTCTAACCGAAAAGATTTCGGCTGGACTCTGTAGTCCGTTGACTTACAGATACTTATAGCTAGTTACTACATATAGTGTAGTCACTCATGGGGGTGACAGGTTATTCCATTACATCACTTAATAAAAACTGTATAAATAAAATGAATGAAGTTAGAAACATTCACATATTTAAATTTATCAGATGCTTAAAATCTCTTCTTTTTCAGTTGGTAACTGTTACAAAATAATTTAATCTGATTGGATTATTTTTTTTCAATAAACAGAAGAGTAGTTTCAAATTCTCTTCCTGCCGCTCATCTTTTAAATCCTTTTAGTTAAAAAACAGTTTAAATCTTGACTTACACTACTATTGCATGTGAATAGATACCAACTCATACTGGGATATTTGTAGCTTTGCTGGGCAACGATGTAAAGATGCATTTTATAAAATGTCTATAAGCCATTAAGTTATTAAATTATTTAATATCTTGCATTCTTTCAGGTCATCATGGCAGCGGAGTCGCTTCTTATTTCCTCTTTTTGCGATGGAGTATCTATCTTAATTTTGGCTTCTTTATGCTCCTCTTTGGCCTCATCGTTATTCCACAGGTGGCCTTTAAAAAAAAAAATTATACCACGGCTGTTTTAGGAATCAACAGCAGGTTAGTAACATTATTAGTAACATCTTCTGTAACATCTCTATTATAATTAGATATTTATTTAGCTTAAGTTTTTGCAAGTCCAGATGAACAGGGCAACAGGTTAAAATCGAAATCAGTTTATATATTCAATATACTATTAAATCACAAATCTAAAGTACCTTCTACAGAATGTACATGCTAATTTGAATTAGTCAACAGATTAACTTAATTATTCTTTCTTTTTACTTCTCATCAGTTATAATCTCAGCAATTTAAGTTTCGCATTTTACGCAATAAACAATGTATTAAATTGTATAAACTGAAAGTAGCTACTCCCCCCACACACACACAAAAAGGGGATACCTAAAACATTAACAAAATGAAAAATCTAAGGTATTAAAAAATTAAAATCTTTTTTAAGCTTTTATTTTACTTTTAATTCCAAGCTAATAGATTAAATTTAATGCTTTATTGTATTTCAAACTGAATTTTAATTGATTGGGATTGTTTTTCTGATTATCAATAAAATCGATGAATGCGTCCATATTGAAAAATCTGTCAACACACATCTGTCAACACACCATAATTCTTTACATATAAAGTCACAAAGACTATAAGTAGCTGCGGCTATTACCCATTGGCAATTGAGTGCATACTTCTTCCTGTGAGTCAATAACTTAACACAACAATGGCGTCGCCGATATCTAAAGAACCGAGCGAACAATTATTACTGAATAATTATGAATACGCACAAGCGTGGCTTAGTATTCTAGCAGCTAAAGCAAGAACAAGAAAGCAGAAGGATTTGACATCAGTTGGGAGAGAAAACCAGATAATTGGTCTCTTCTTGACAACTGCTAGTTATGAGGCTATTAATAAATTATTCAGCAATTTCATACTCAAGACAGTTGGAGTAAATGACATTTGACGTTATAAGTCAACTACTAGTGATAAATATAGCACCCAAGAAAAAAAAACTAGTGGATGCGGAGAGAGCTAAGTTTATGAACATTCGTCAAAAACTAAACAGAAAGTAACAGATTTTATAATATATATTTTTCAAAGATTTTCTAAAAAAGAAACATTTAAAAATAATTTAATTCATTTCTGAATAATTCATGAAAGTGTTATTAAAATCCGAAAATTTTTGCAAAAATGTCCAAATCGATGAATTTTTCACCGCAAATAGACGCTGAAATCTCCCGTATAAATTTACGATCCTGTCAGAAATACATCAGAAAAACAAGATTTTTAACCAGAATTTCAAGGTTCTAGAAAGGATTTTAAAAAAAGTAATTTTTATATAAAAGTATCTGATCTTTCATCTTAATAATAATACAAAGGATTTGAAGTTAAAAAGTTTTGTTTTTATTATACTTTGAGGATGTTTTCATTATTTAATTTCACATCATGTATTTTTTAGTGAATTTTTAGAGTTACCTAACAGAAAGTAACGAAGCTTTGGCTCGCTTCCTATTTTGTCTTAAAAAAGTGTAAAAAAAAAATTCATTTCTGAAGTAAAAAATGTTATGTGATATTTTTCTTCAATCAGTTATTATTGTCTTTCTTACTCTACGTATTTATTTAGTTACGTTCATGTCAACTACTCACAGCACTGTTCACAGCAATACATTTTGAACTATAGTTCAACAAGTGTGTCAGAAATATTACTGGACTTTCTGCAAGGAACGGTAAGAATAAACTTTAAAGATTTCTCAAAATAATTCTCTATTTAACTAATTCTTATCACTTGTTCTCCATAAAAACGCATTCTCTTAAATTTGAAACGCACACTTCAAATTTCTGATGTCCATGTACAAATATATAATATATACAGTTGAGTTGTGGCAATTATTTATCCCCATTCTAATTAACAAAACCATAGTAACTTTTTTGCTTAACTACCAGTTACATTGTGTTTATCAAGAAAATATTTGTATACCAGAGCTAATTATTTTTCGCTATCAAAAAATTCAGACTAAAATATGAATGGTTTTTATCCAGTATTATATTGAAGAAAACTGATGCGCAGAGCATATAGGGTAAAAGCAAAATACATTTTGCATTGCAGAAAAAAATCCCAAAATGATAGAATTTATATTTGTCTTCAGCACGTCAGTAAGAAATTTTTATTATGCAATTTTACGAATCTATTTCTTGATACTGAACTTTTCTCATTGAAATGCACAATTGAACAATCGTAATGTGTTGATATTTATGAGATTTTTTACTGTATTGGTAATTACAAAGGTTTAGACGATATAATAAAATTAACTTGCTACATTATTTAGAACTGGAATTGTCACTTTATTAAATTTCACCCCACTACTAGAAATAAAAACAATTCTAACAAGTGTCAAATGTAAATGTTTTTCCAATTAAAGCAAAACGATTTTAGCTTTCATTTTTCCTTTCATTTTTTTCAACCTTTCTGTCTTTATGTATTTGGGAAATTGATACTTCTGCAAATCGAATATTTATTCGAATTATCTTTGTCTTACTTTGGCAGGGGTGGATGGAAAAGACGCCACTTTTCTACGGCTACTATGAAGGAAAAGAACTCAACTATGATAAGTCGTACATCATTCCATTAGCTTATATCCTTGTCTGCATCTTTTCTCTCATTTATAGCGTGATTATGATGGCAAAGAAGTAAGATTTAAAAAAGAAACATTATTATTTCTCTCTCTCTCCTCTCTCTCTCTCTCTCTCTCTCTCTCTCTCTCTCTCTCTCTCTCTCTCTCACTCACTCACTCAAACCAAGTAAATTTGCCATATGTCTTCATACTCTATCCAAACAAATTTTCTAAGCGGTCTGAAGTGCATAGTGATGTAATGTTAAAATGAAAAACGACTTTAAATTTGAAATAAAATGAAACTGTTTATGGTCAGCTGAAAAGGCATGAATCCAATTCTGCGTGCACTCCATCACGTCACTAAATAACTTGATAAGCTGTCTTGTCACTAGAACGGTTGGCGGAAAAAACATGATCTAGTGAACACTTTCATATTGAAGCGCTAGTAACAAAAGCTGTTCTCTTCACAGTCAAACTTGTCAGTCTGGTTTCCCATAGAGACAAGCATTTCTCTGTGTGTGTGTGTGTGTGTGTGTGTGTGTGTGTGTGTGTGTGTGTGTGTGTGTGTGTGTGTGTGTGTGTGTGTGTGTGTGTTTAACACTTTACTAATACCGATGAGTAGTTGACCTTCTGAATTTGAATGTTAAATGAAAAGGGCCCTGAGTTTTGATCAGAATTTTGTAGCGATGACAATATTGATCTTTAATTTAAACCTTAAGAACCTGATGTGGTAAAACAGCATATTAATATACTATATATGAACGGTGTAAATAATTTCCCCCAAAATGTATATACTTATCATAGTTTGACGTGTAAGCATTCAGTTTGTAAAACCAATTTAGTCATGCAATGAGTTAAATTCACATTGTACCATAAGTGGTTGCCTGCCATCGCATAATGTTTACGGAGGCCAGTTTGTCAAACTACATTGAGTTCGAACCTTTCTATAATCCGATTATGTGAGACGAAATTCAATAAATGAGCTCCACATTTATCTAAACATAGAATAATAATCAAACTGAAGTTTATGGTTAAAATTAGATTTTGATTTTTCAAGTATTTCTTATTGTTTCTAATTTGAAGCATTTTTATCTTACATTTATATAATAAAATATAATAAAAATTATTTCCCTATATCAATGTATGTTCATATAAATATATGATCAGTATGTAATATATATACGAAGGGATACTGGAAAATTTTCAATGCGACCAAATATCAAAATTCTTTAGTGTGGGCTTCTTTAGTCGAGCGTTTTAAATAACCCGCGAATGGTTGATAACCTGTAAAAAAGCAAATCAATCAATCAAGTCAAGCAATTTCATCGCCTTCCTGGTAGTTCTTCCCAAACAATCAGTCATTGTCAGGATGAATTTCTGAGCTCTATGATAATACTTTTGAAATATTACTGATTTTCAATCAATGTTTAAGAGAAAAATAAACAAGGTCTTGCTTACCAGTGAGCAGCTTCATTTCTGGATCTAATCCAAAATCAGTCATCGGGAGGAACCATAACAACCAGTTTCAGTCCCTTTTTCGTCTCTTTTCGTCCCTAATTGTGGAGGTTTCTTTTGGATTGGTGCTAACTTTCCCGCCATCAATTAATTGTTCTCCAACTGTAATCATCTCCCTTTAACCAGATGAAAAGCGATGCTTTTTCCCGCGTCTCCTGAAGATCTGCTATCACGCTTTTTATCTCCTTCTTGTTGTTGCCAAATCGTCTTCTAAGCACATTGGCAACATTTTTTCCCAGAAAAGCACGGCATCCCACGGCTAGATGGTAGAATTCAATCTTCCATCCACACTCTTCACATTTGTCTATCAGAGCTTCATATCTCTCAATTTTTATTTGCTCTGCATGTTCCAAATTGTCTTCTCAAGGCTCTGTCAGTTCCAACAACAGTGTTTTTTGTCATTTTCATTCCATAACACTAGGTCTGGCCATTGACGTTGCTACAATAGGAAAAACAAGTACAGAATCAAAGTCTGCTGATGTTTTCCATTCTCCTGACCATCTTTCATTCTCCATTTGAGATCCTCTAGTGGTTTCCACTCTGTCTTCTTTTTGAAACTGTACTTTAGTCATCACTTGCTTGGTAGGTCCCTTTCCTTCATTGATATTATCAATCTTCTTCCTGAAGAAAAGGTAAAACATCTTCAAGACTTGGTTATGTTGTCACGTGTATCTTTCTTTCAGACCCAATGGACAGGCAGAAAGGATATGTCTTATAGTACCATGTTCACCGTACTTACACTTAGGGTTATCTGCAACTTTCCGACAAACAAGATATGCTGGGGATGGCAACATGTCATTAGGTAGACGAGCGAGTTCCCATGGCCAAAGCCCCTTCCAGCTTAATTTTCGTTCTATCACCATCTTAAACACTGTCCTTGATCACTACATTGTGCCATGTAAAGGTATTTTTTCTTACTCCGCCCACCTGGCTTCTGTTACCACTACAACTCTTTTCTGCACGTTTGCGAAATGATGTGAACTTTCCAGTGCCTAATCTACTTTTACTTTCTTGAACTGCGCCTACTATATCCCTGTGCTTGAAGTTGCAAATGGCACTGTTAACTGCTTCTTCCATTTTGCACTTTTTGTGAGTTTCTACTTCTGGAGGGTTGTTACGGATCTCTACATCGTTTGAAAATCGCAACATCATCACTGTACGACATTTTCCGGTTGTGTATTCTTCTGTGATAGAGGCGATTGGGAGTTTCAACTGACCCACTTTTCCATAGATAGCTGTGTTGTTTATATGCTTTCGAAGACCCAACTATTTTCTAATGTACATTGACCACTGCTGCTCGGTACGCTACACTCTAGTTGCTGCTACCTCATACATCGTAAGAGGCCATATTAAACTAGGGCGTAGGACATATTGTAGACACCATACCTTGAACTTCCCAGTCAGTCTTACTTTATCTATTGCTTTCAATCCTTCCTGAGCTTGTTGGTAAACCTCAACTCCTTTATATCTGCCGTTCAAGCCATTTTTGTACCACCGACCAAGGCTTTTCACAGGCTCCTCTTTTACTTTTGGGATGTTGCTCCTGCTTATCTTGAACCTTACCTCCTTCTGCTTTCCATTAATAATCGTACAACTTCTTGACTTTTGGCTTTGAATTTCATTCGCAACCATTTGATGATATTGTCAAGTCTTTCCGAAACTTTCCTCACTGAATTAATTGAGTTTGCCAGCACTGTAATGTCATCTATGAAAGCTTTTAATGACGATCTTATCACAATAGTTTCTTCTTCCGATGACCTCAATATCAATTCCATCACAAGTACAAAGAGGATGACAGAAATTGTGCAACCAGCAACGATATCTACCTCTAGTCTTTGTCATGCTGTAGTAAAATCATCCGTGGAGAAACGCATACAGAATCTATCACAGTAACGCATCAACATATCCTTAAGTTCTTCAGTAAACTAAAAGTTTTCCATTGCCTTCCCAATTTTACCTTGTGTGGAACTCTGATTCATAAGCATTTGCAAAGAGTCCAACCAGATCACTGACAAGTCACCTTTCCTGTTCTTTGCTTCTTGTTATGTATTCCATATAGAATATGCGTATTCCACATAGAATATGCGTGTTCAATACAACTTAGGATATTTGGAAGCCCAGCTTTTTGAATCGATTCATTTATGTAACCATTCTTCCTTACATATTCTTATCTTGCCGATAATAGCAAAGAGTATTTTTCCATCGAAGCGATTAAGCAAAATATTATATACATGCAAACGCCATGACTAGGGGTCAAAAGCAGTAGATCATTCGTAAGTTCTTGTTTTACTCGCCAGCAGTGTCCTGCAAAGCGCATTCTGCGTTCGTGTAAGATTGTAAAAATATCAGGGGTAGCTCTATAGAGCTGTGATTTAGTTGGATGTTAAGACATGTTAAATATAGCTCTTAGCGTCCGAGTTCCATCAAGCTTAAACTCAAGGTAAACAAACGTATTTTTTTTTTTTTTTTTTTGCTTAAGGCTGGACAAAATGCTCGAATTATATAACAGTGCTGATTGTGTGCCAATCAACAATTCTAAAAGAAAATTATCTCAAAACAATAACAGTTAAAACAAAAGGAGCGTGTTCCTATTGAACTGCAGTTCCATCTAGACATCTTTTGATTCTCAAACTGTAACAAGGTTGTTAAAGAAATTTACCTGATCGTATTAATAATAAACATCCAGAAAGATTATTTAATGTGGCTCATCTTCGTTTTGGCTGTTATTATTAAAGATATTCAAATGAGTAAAAGGAAACATATTGTACACAAGTAAAGTGACACTCGACTTTAATTTTTTTAAATAATTTAAACTGTCCAAATAAATCTTCATATCTCGTAGTTTTAATTAATATATTTAATACATTTTCAATGAAAAAATATTTTTTTTCTTTTTTCAGATCTGCCTCTAATTTTCAAGACAGCATTTATGATGCAACACCTTCTAGCCATTATCAGTTTTTTACTCTGGTATTTCTCAGCTGGGATTACACAATGACCGATGAAATCAGTGCCAAGTTAAAACTGAAAAGTCTAAAAAAACAAATAATTGTAAGTCATTATATGTTAGCTAACATCATTTATTCTGTTTCGAATAAATACTGTTCTTCACTAAATTACTTATTCATTTGTTTGCATACTCATGGCAAACTAAATTTATTAGGCTTTTCTAACGGATAGTTAAACGCTAAAACATATAAACTGCAGATAATGGAAATTTCCAATATTTCAGTTATATGACTAAACTACGAATGACCAAAATTGTTGCTACAAAATTAAGAATAAAATATAAATTTCTGGGGAGGTCAGTTCTGTTTGTTTGTGCGCAGTTAGAGGCACAAGTTGCTTCGAAAAATTATTTTTTTAATTATTGAGATACTAATCCAATGAAGTCTATAATATTTTACTATCTTATCCTAATTATGAATCATTTAATTAGAAAGAAAAACTAAATAATTATGAATATTTTTAAAGTCTACATTTCAGGAAATCTAAGGTAGAAACATACTTTGCTTAACTCCTTTGTATTTCATTTGAAATTTTTTCGTTGTTCAAATGAAAAGAACTTATCCATTTGAAAGACCCAGATTTATATCTGAGGAAAAGACATTATATAAGTAACATACGCTGATACAGTGCAAGCATATTTTTTAAGATAGCATTATGTTGATATCAGTTATATACTTTGGTCTCTACACTGAATTCAATGTCTTTGGGTACAGTCCGTTCTTTAAAAAGACATGGAATCAAAAATTATATACCTTGTATAATATGACTATCGTCTGCCTCTTTCCAGTCTGAGCTAACTGATAAGCAATATAGACAGAAAAGGAAAAATCTGACAACTTACCAATATGCACGAATCATCTTTATTCGAGTCCTTGTCAATATATTTGTGCTTTTGTGTCTGGGCACTGGTGCCTACCTCATCTACTTCACAACACAGTTTACTACATTCGTAAGTATAAAAACGACTTTTTTCAGGCTACAATTCCAGTCTATTGCACCAGTTTGTTTCATATGCAAGGCAGTTTCATTATCTTCTATGACTGATATACAGACTTTACATTATATTTTTTAAGTTTTTCTGAGATTTTAAAAGGGATCTTTAATGTTGTCACAACTTTTCTATTCCAAAATGGTCCCAAGAAGAGTATAATTTGTCGTGAAAAGCTTTGCATAAATACGCAATCTATTAACATTTGATTAAGCTGTTATATTTGTCTCATTAACTGAAATTTTTCAAAAAAGGTTAGAAACCGAAATTCGACTCTCTTATAAATGATAGATAAAACAGTATAGTTACTTCTAACATGAATCATTGGTAAGTATATGTCGATACAACTTAATAAGATTTAGAGATTCAAACTAAAGCTTTGATTAAATTTTCGCTTTAATTTCAGCATGTAAAACCTGACGAGTTCCACGGACATCATGAAAGCGTTCGCTTTCTAGTAGAATATCTTCCATCTATTACAATATCAGCATTAAATGGATTTATTCCATTTGTGTTTTCTTTTATCACTAAAGTAGAAGACTACCTGCCTCAAAACCAAGTGATAATTATATTAATCAGGTATGATTATGTTTTTTTTTTCTCTTATCATAAAACCAAAAATAAAAGTTCAGGTACGTTATATCTGTCTTTTCTCTACAAAATGACATTTTCATTGGACTCTGGTTAGAATATTCTGATTTCTACAATTAATCGTATTTTACAGTTAATTTTCTAACTTTGTACCATAGCTTAATGAATAAAAGTGAATTTTACTTTGAGATATTAGATTTCCCATCTTTTTTGTCTATGAAGCCACTGTTCTATCGGTTCAGCAAACGAGTGACTATTTTTTTAATTAACTACTCCGACCTTAAATCTAAACAACTATGTAGATTCTTACGCATTAAGAAAGTATATAAATATATGCAAACTAATTTATTTGATTTATTTTGGTGCACTCGTTGTTTATATGTGTAAAGCAGTTAATGTATTGCAAAAATGTTATCAAAATGTTTAGCAACAAAAACCTGTAACTATTTCAGAAAGTTCGAACATATTCATTTCCTCTTATAAACTTAATTTAAAGAAAATTACGTTGAATCTAGGATTAATAATAATTTGAATCTTCCAATATAACGGAGTATGGCTTTTACATATACATTTATTTATATCATATGCTAAGGTAACAAGTATTTATTTACTTAAATATGTTTTATTGAATTCGACCTGCAATGCTGGAAATTTTCCTAAATGCTCAGAAAATATATCCTTTAGCCAACGCTTTAATCTAATAAACCATATAGATGTTTCTCTAGGGATGATGATGTGCAAAAGGGCAATGAAAGAAACTAACAAAAACTACAGAAACACCCAGTGCAATTTGCATATTGATTCCTCTCTCTCTCTCTCTCTAGGTTAGATTCTCTAAGGATAACGGTATATCACTATATCTTTAATGAATTAATTATACCAACCATAAAAAATGATATAATTTATTTTTCTTTCAACATAAATAAATCGGACAAGTGGTTCGTGACATCAGTTAATGTTGATGCAGTACTTACTGTTTTATCTTCGCCAAAAACTACGGAAAATTGTTCCCCCGAAAAAAAACAGAATTATTTTTGGATTTTTCTATTTTAAGAAGCATTCTTTGTGCAATACTAAATTTCGTTGCATGTATATAAAACCTGGATTTTCTTTCTTCAATGATATGCATAATGTGAGAAATGTAATAGAAATTACAGCTAATAATCCTAACTCATACATTTTAGCGAGGAAAAATGTTGTCAAAAGGGTGAGTAGGATAGATCACTTTGAAGAGCTGTAAAAATTTTACCAGAATGACCTCCACCAGTTTCTGATGCCTGAATGACCTCTCTTTCTGGAAATATAGGAACCTTTCAAAGCCATTAGAGTATTCACCTAATAAAAAAAAATATTCATCTTTTAGGGCTTGTTTACAGCAAAGAATGATTATGTAAGAGCTAGAAACACTTCAAAGACGATCATTGAAATGACTAAGGAAGAAGCGTGGGTTATTACCTTGACAGAGATTACTGTGGTACAAAGAAACTCATCTATGCTTTGACAATGACCTACAGGAATAATAAACAATAGACTTCAATGACAAAGACAAAAATAGCACACTGCTAATGGAGCCAAAATAGGTAGATATGAGATGGTCTGAGTATTTCGAGAAACTGATGACTGTACCTGAAGATGGAATAGTTAACGCTGATTAACCACAAGAACAACCTCCTGTTGAAATCGTTCTTGGGGACAACTGAGAAAATAAGTCACCAAGTGTGAACTACATATCATCAGAAATCTACAAACCTGGACGGAAAGACATCATTGAAAGACTTCAATACAGCATGGTCAACAGGAGAGGGTATTGGACGACAGTGTAAAAGGAATCATCTACCCAATTTACACGAAGGACGACCATTAAGAGTCCGCAAACTACATAGGGAAATCGCTTCTACCACACATTGTAAAAATCTATGTGAGGATCCTGAAGAATCGCCTCAGACAAGTTGTTGAAGAAGAACATAGTAATTAAGTTTTGGTAAGTTTCGAAAGTTAGAGATGTCTTCTTACTGTCCACGGTTTTTAATATAAAAATCCAAACATCCGAATTTCAAACAATAATAAAATAAAAAAAGAAAACATGGGTATGCCTGTCAAATAAATCGTTTATATTTACAAATATATATAGATGATTTCAAGAGTCAAAAAGGAGTAAAAAATAGTCTTTAGTTGAGTTAGTCTTTGGGTAGTTGGTCCACAGAAAGATCTGAGGTTAAGAAAAGACTTTGGTCATCAGCAAAGATTCACTGAAACCCTGAGCTATGGTTGTTGGAGATTATTCGCTTGACATTTTTTCAGCACACGCTGTTGAGAGGGAGGGGGCTATGTAGCCACGTCTTCTCTTGTGTTTGAATGACTTGGAACTGGTCGCGTCACCTGCTGAAAATCGAAATCTGTGGGCTTTTATGAGAACAATTTTCCGAAAGTAGGCTCGTGAAAAAAATAGCGTTTTAGCTTTAGTGACAAACGCGTATATATCTGTCCAGCCCGCCATAAAAGCCATATCATTGAGAGATAGCGCATTCCGGATCAATCGCTAGGTAAGCGAAAACTCAGGACCACTGAGATAATTCGCTGCTGGTGCCCAGGATTAGAAAGAGCTAATAAGCCGCAATGCCCACAGAGCAGATCAGACACGATTACCTCCACTAGTTCGCAATACAATGTCCCCCTAGGCTGTGAAAGGTCACTGGACGGAGGAATAGCACGCAGTGCAATTCATACACCGTAAACTGCTCAATACTAGAAATTGGAGGAGTGATGGTAAGGCTATAGAATATGTTACTAAAACTCCTGGACCACAGCGAATCCCCTGTCAACACGCACTGTAGGAAAAACAACTTCGAGGCGTGTCAGTGACTCACCAAGTGTAGCAATCCCCCATGACACGGACGCTGGATAGATTTCTCTGCGGACTTTCGACCTGCCTCCACCCGACAAGAAGGAGAAGAGCTAGCGCTAAATTCCTTTCCAACGGCCCTTGCAGAGGGGAAGTACTGACATTCGGTAAAAGATGAGGGGAAAGATCTACATGGAACACACTTCAGCCCTACTCTTTAAGAACAACTACCTTTGTCAGTATCTCCTACCAAATTTTCTGCAGCTGAAGATCCACACTCCAAGAATGCGGATGGGACCGTCAGTCCAACTGAAGTGCCCCGGAAGAGCAACGCGTTTCCAAGTAAGAAGAATGCAAGTAAGAAGAATGGTTACAGTTAATCTTGGCCCCGCGACCTTCTCGTATCGTTCAAACGCCTTCTGCACCATCGCAATGTCGCTGCGTCAAGACACGAAAATGGATACGTCATCGACGTACGCGGAAACCATACTTCGAGCTCCACCAGGGACACCGATTCCACGTAGGGCCAGACTGCACGCCCTGTCCCTCAGACAGTGCGGGAGAAGCTCCAATGCTAGGACCGCGCGGATCAGATGCAGGTAACTCTGAATTGTTCGACCCTTCACTGCACAAGTCTACTCGGGCCCCAACAGAATATTTCCAACTGACTACAAACACTCCATCAGGATCTTGGCCAAAATATTTTACTCTGTGTTTAGCAGAGTAATGGGCCTGTAATCGTCTAGATCCCGCACAAAATGCTTGTCCTTTTTCGCCAGTGTGATCACATTCCTGGAAATCTGGTCGGGGATGGACCACTGCTGCAACCAGTTGTTGAATACAACTGTCAAAATCGGAACAAACATGTATGACATCCTCAAGTACAATTCGTACGGCAGACCATCAAGTCCTGGGGATTTGCCACTGTCGACTCTCTTCAATGCCACGTGGTCTTCGCCCTCTGTGATCATACCTTCGCAATTAACCACTTCGGTCAACGAGATTCAAGGAAATTTGGTTTGCGGCGTTTTTAGCCGCAAAACTCTTCGTCATAGAAACCAGTCTCCTTGGAAAATTAGTTCTGGAAATGCTGCCGAAACGCCTCGCACATGTCGTTTATTGACAAGCTGCGTTCATCCAGTGTGTCTACTTCACGAATGTAGCGATCGGAACCTCGACATATTCCTCCTTGCGCAATTATGCGTCCATATTCACCGCTTTTGTCTTATGTTTAACCTATGTCGCACTACCTGACCCCGGTAGCGCTCGCGAGTCGAATGCTCCAGGGCCTGTCTATCTCTAGGGCATCTCCCCAGCCTCCGCCCGGGCCAGACTATCTCTGCCTTCACCTTCTTAGCCTTATCTAGGATGAGTCGTTCACTAAATTATGTGGTGAAAGACCTAATCCTATTCTTAAGCCTCTCCCACAACTTATTCACAATAGCCGCCCCCACTAACACCAGCTGCACTAATCTAGTCAGCTGTAGCCGGAAGTCCTGCCTGTCCAGTTAGGAGGAGTTGAACTTCCAGTATACAGCATTTCTAGGCTTATAGTCTAACACCATCCGGCAAAAACAAGTTTGTGGCTCGAATAGCCTAACTAGTGGAACGTGGGACAACCTTGTAGATTTAGATCGATCCTTCTCACTAACATTTTATCCACGTAGCTGACTACTTGGGTAGACAACTACTTAAGAGCCCTCGTCCACATCTCCTGTCAAGGGTGATCGACCCGATATCTATCGTCGATCAGATTGACCAGACTACGATCCCGAACCCTCTCCGCCCCTACCTAACTTGTTGTCTCGGATCGCATTCCAGTCAACCATTAAGTCTAGGCGCGCTGAATCGATCAGGAACGTCCTCAACTGATAGAAAAACGAACAACGTTCCATCTGGTCGTTGTGCGCATAAACTGTAACGACCCGAAACACATTACTTTTCATGGCAATATAGGCTACGATTAAGCGTTCTCACCATGCGCCCAGCAAGGAAACATCTTTGGCTTGAATAGACAATAAAGTCGCGAGACAACACACGAGCATCGACGTCGCAAACAACGGCAGCAGGAATACCCAAACTTTTAATTTGCTGTCTGAGTTCCTTATTAAGGTAATTATCTCAGGACCTTTGGAGAAGTTCCTGGGGTCCTCCATTGACTTCCCCTCGGTGGAGTATAACTTAAATAAAGGCCTCAAAAGGGCCTTCCTCTGTGAGGAAAGGTCCCTTTCGAGGACCAGACAGTCTATTTCGCATATGGCTTCCCCCTTGGGGAAGTCCTTCTTTTTGGGAAATGGGCTGGAAGGGAGTGGGGAGTTGACTGAGAAGCGGGAAGAGACTCGTTGCCTTACCTTGCCTAGCAGGTTGGTGCTACTGTTGCTCCAACTGCTGCTGTTGCTGCTTTAGCAGCTCTTTTTGGAATTGTTCTTGTTGCTACTGCTGTTGGAGTTGCTGCCAATGCTGCAGCTTGACATCCTTCGTCTGCTGCTGTTTCTTTGGTGACGAAATTTTCTTTGTTGAGACATTCTGCTGAGAAGGAGGAATTGCAGTCTTCGGTCCCCTCTTCACTGCTCCTTTCCGCTCATTGAGGATATCGGGAACCTGGCCGAACTTCTCTGGCCACATTGCTTCCCTCAATGGGGGCGGTTGAGGCTGTGGCGCCGGGTTCTTGCTGAGGCATACTTTCGTCATGTGCCCCATGGCGCCACTGGATCAGCAGTAGGGCCGACGACCCTTAACTATCACAAATATTGCCCGGCATCGACAAGTTAAAATGTCAGGAGTGTCCAAGAAGATATTGTCTTTCACCTGAGTGACAAAATTCCCGGTGGCAATGCCCGCCTTGCTCGTGATGGATTAGACATCTCCTTGTTCAAATGTTGAGAAAAAAGTCTCCCAGTCGGTTCTTAGTGTGGTCCATAGGCACCCCGTGTAATTTCACTCTCGCCCGTCGGATGTTCATATATTTTCTCTAGAGACGCCGGCCTTTATTTTACTGCCTTTGTATACTGCCACTAATGTTCCTCCAATGCTGCATATTCTGCTAGTCATTTTGGGGGTGCCTGTTAGTGGCACAGGCTTAAAGCGATGAAGTTTGCTGCTTGTGGGAAAAATCAGCCATAATGGTCGGGACCACGGCACAGCAGATGAAAAACCACGCAAAGAAAAACTCGTCAAAAACAAGGACAAACAGGGACAACAAACTTCACAAAATGTCACTTATGTCTTTTTGCTTTTGAAACGGCTCATAGTGAAAAAATAACGCTTTCACTTTGATTTAAACGGTGTATGTTGTATTGTTGAATCTTTTTGGCATGTTTGAAATATTGTCTGTTTTTGGATATAAAATAAAATTTTAGCGTGTTTTAATATGTTATGTATGTTTATGAAATTGTATTGGAAATAGGATTATTGAACCCTGAATTTTACATAAGAATGTTTGAGTGTCTATACTTTGTACTTCTGTGAAAAGCTGTGAGAAATTGTTAGGCGTTAAGGCGCATTTTATATCATGCCTTGTATTTTCAGAACTATTCTACTCCGTCTTGCATCTCTAATATTCTTGGTAGCCAGTCTCTACAAAGAAGTTATGTGCACACCAAAAGACAATTGTAATGTTGGGGTGGCTGATTGTCCACCTTTAAGGGTAAGTACTTGTCGGAAACCTTTTGTTGATACGTAAAAAGAAATGTAATTTATATTGATATGTTTGCTGTTGAAGGCTGATGAATTTCACTTCTTATATCTTCGTATTCAATATGTTATTTTCAATGATAACATTTTAATTCGCTGCGTATGTTATCATCTATTACATATTTTTCTGTGATTCTAATATACAAAAAAACAAATGTAAAATTTCTCTTCTCATGCTTGACTTCTGGTAACGCATGCCAACATTTTTTTAACATCAGAAAGGGGTGCATATGTCAAACAAAATTACTAAGCAAAAGAACTTCTTCTTACGGTTCAAATTAGTTTTTTATTTGGTAGTTTGTGCAACGATAGACCCCCCCCACACACACACAGTTTTTTGGGTGGGAGGAGGGGATCAAGAAGGGTTTATCACAACTCCATAACCCAAAATACTCTAATGCATTAGGTTAAATGTTTAAGCTTTCAAATGTGAAACGTTCTCTTTTATCGTAGTGCTGGGAGACATATATTGGACAACAATTTTACAAGTTGGTCATTATGGATTTCTTAATCTCATTCAGCCTGTGCGTCATCGTGGAACCACTACGCAAGTAAATTTTTCTATACTTACTTACATATATATATATGTATATATATGTGTGTGTGTGTGTGTGTGTGTGTGTGTGTGTGTGTGTGTGTGTGTGTTTGGTGGGGTGGAGGGAAGAGGGACTACAAAATAACTGAAAAGTCAAATTTCTATCCCGATTAAAGTTTAATCTTTCACATGATATTTTTGTATCTTTTTGGTGCGAACGTACCGCATTATTCAAAATTTGCAGAAATACATTAGGGTATATTTCTGTTCAGAAGCAAGGTATATTTAATTTTAATAAGTTATTGTATGACTATCAAATAACGGTTTTGAGGCCTCAAATCTCTATCTTCTCATCTGTATTTTTCAGAGCACCATAAACTCGTAAAAAATATATAGCACATGAAATTACTATCCTTTGCCAACAGTGTATTAACTATTTGAATTTCTTTAAAATTACGCAACAATTTAGCTTTTGTGTATAAATTCTTTACACTGATAACTTATATTTTATACTTTAAGTGTTGTGTAAATTTTGCAATCGCTTTATCAATAAAATAGTTTATGTAGTTATTAGCTATATAGGAGCGTTGATAATTTGTCAGTTCTAGTACAGGAAATAAACTCCCAATGATTGTCAAACCTTTATTCGTGTTTTCAACGATGGTTTCTTTGGATTGAATGACATTTTGTGGTCCTTCATTACGGAATTACACGATCTGCTAACAATAACATTTCTTGCAAATAAACTGATCGTTATCGGTCTATATTTCTGCGATGAGGTATTGTAATTATTTACATTGTTTAGATTGTTGGGATTGTTCTCTTCGTCTTTATTGTCATGTTCACGACGTTTCTGTCTACTCTATGTGAAGGGATTATCAGAAAAAATACAAATGCTCTGTAGTCCATATAACATCAGGACGACCTTCAAAAGTTGTTCGACACTTCACAGATACCTATTCCGTATAAGAACCCTCCATAGAGGAGAACTTGACCAAGGACGCCATCCCATGCAGCTGTGATAAGAAATATAAAGGAGAAAGACGTAACATGAGAGGAAATATGAAAATCGGGTATAGCTGACCGCATATGGTGGGAAAGAGTGGATCACTGCCTCCTGTGGGATGAGGTTGAAATAATAGAGAAAATCAATGGAAAATAGGAAAACTTAAGGAATCAGCGCATATGCTAAGCCACAAAAACTTCGTAAGTCGGCCAATCATAGAAATGAATACAATATGGGAACCAATAATACGAAGTTCTAGAGAAAAGCAATAATAACAAAATTGCAATATGAGTTCTGAGTTGAGGAAAAATTGTTACTGAAGTGCCAATATCTCTGTTATATACCGTAACTATGACCACTAATAGGTAAGTCCCGATCCTCATAAATACGTTGGACACTATTGTAAGTGGGGGTAATATGCTGTCTAAGTAGTTCACCACTAGCAGTGGTTTAACTACTTCATGTCGCTAGCGAGTATTGTATTTTGTTGATGTTATAAAGATTACCATTTCATTTCCAACCCCCGTTTTGGCTTTTCCTCATTCAGTAACCCTTTCTAGGTTACAACAATGAGGAATGTGAAATTGTGCATTAGAGCGTAGAAAGCCGGCCATTCAGTTCTGTTTTTATAAATTCTGTTGATTTAATTGCACCATGTTGCATTAAAATAATGCAGTCGTTATACGAACGATAAAGAGGTGAGTATGAGTAATTGTGAACTTTTTCTTCAAAGTGATTTTTCTCGGTATCTTAAACAGCAGTGTATTATTCAATCACAGTTAATATAGTAAATAAATTCTCAATAACTGAAAACTAAACTACAGTTTATTTGCATCTTAACAAAGCTTCTCTGTAAAGGTGTGTGTGAAAGTTTTGGAGATGTTTCATAGTAAACCGTCTCATTTGAAATTATCGTCTGTCTTTGTGGTATATAAAATTCTTGCATTTTTAGTGTCATTCATTTACAGGAGAAAAGTCTAAACGTATTGACTTTATAATTCTTGTCTTTACTGAAATCGAATCGCTTATAGATTTTTTTTAGCTGATATTTAACCTACCGATTTGACTTCTTGTAAAGTCTCGTATTTGTTTTCAAGGGAGGCTAACTAAACTTAAATCTTCTGAAACCAAGCTGATTGATTAAAATTCGCATATTATACATCTTTTCTACTGTATCTACATATTACCTTTTTACACAAACAAACACACACACATATATATATATATATTAGTTGATCTTTTAATGTGAACTTTTTTCATACCTCTGTCATCTATACACTTTATTGAATTTTGAATATTACAACACTTTTTAGTTATGCAAGTGAAATAAACACCAGTAAAAATAAAGAACACCAAAATTAGGTTTCGGTAAATAGTGACATTTTGTTTGCAATATCACAAAAATTAATGGATTGTCTATAGTTTTTGAAAAATTACGCTTCGATGTTACTGTGTGCTAACCTTGAGATACTGCGAACAAATAGGTAAGGTAAGTTAGATTAAAAAGGCGGATAAAATCGGATAATCCTAGGTACTTCCAAAGTTTCGCTAAAAAAATGAGCATATATGATGAAAAAATGTCCCAAACTTAAAACAAAAATTTGTATTATTATTATTATTATTATTAAGAGGAAAGACCAAAGGATTTTTTATTATTAAATTATATTTTTGTTGTGATGAAATAACCTGACTTCCCCATTCACCATAAATGGACGTTCCGGTGGCCGATAAAGTTCGACCACAGTAAACAGTCGAAGGTTCAACAGAAGTTCAACAGAGCGACAACAAAGGTCTTCGTTGACTACACCATTGCGGTTAGCTTACTCCTACTCTGTCTCTGTATTTTGACATTCCTACATTCCGATATAAAGTATTATTATTTAAACCACCACTCGGGTTTACTTTGTTATTATATCTTTTTGCGAGATATAACGACTGGCGACGAGATATAACAATTTTTTAATCCGTTTTTAGAGCTTTCGAAATTGTGATTAAAAATTGTTTTCGTTGTGCCAACGGGTGGCCATAAATTAGTATGGGAAGTTTGAACGTCTTTTTGCGGTGAATAACATTGATTTGGAAATTCTTACAAAAGTCAGATAATTGTTGAATATTAATGAACCTTCAGGACTTCTCCACAAATTAATGTTATTATTTTGAGATGTTTTCTTTTTAGAAAATCTTGATAAAATATTTTTTTACATCTATTACTCACTTTTGTAGATCTTAATTTTATAAAAATCGTAAAATAAAAAATGCAATAAGTAAAACAAAAGCTTTTAATTGTTTTTATAAGATATGTTATGGACACTATAGTCTTAAGAAATTTTTTCGATGAATAGTTTTTACGAGTATTCTTTTTATTTATTTTTAACTAGAATAATTCATAGTTTTAAAATTGTGTACTAATTTATAGCGGTTAGGTGATATTGTTAAGTAAAAACTAAATTTATAAATCATAAATACAAAGCTTACTACAATTCGGTGACACTCATTTTAAAAATGTATGTATTGGTGTCGATTTCAGGCCGGTGTATGCGTTAAGAGATGAACACGTGTGTCTCCTAAAATATCCACAACAAACACGGCAGACATGGCATGGCGGGATGTGAGTCCACGTAAAGAAATGTAAAGAAACGATAGGAACAAATATATATTTTACAAACAAATGATAATGTATTAACAAAGTTATACAAGCAACAAAGACAATAATGTGTGTAACAAATAAATGTCAAAACCGTTTGGTCCAAAGTATGTGTAGTGAGTGAATGTGCGTACATACGTGTGTGTGTGTGTATGTATATTGTTTATACATTCCCTAAAGAGAACGCGTTTTGTCGTGAGAGACTTACATGTTGACGTGTAAGCGGAAAAGTAAGAAGCGTGATACAAAATTATCGCAGAGTATTTATAGTCCTGAGAGCGTCCCCTAGGAGCAGTTTCGAAATTAGGAGGCGGTAACCCGACACGTCTACTAATTTTTATAAACTGCCGTTAACCGTGAGTGATGGAAATTTTATAATATACTTCGATAAGAAGTCAAAAGGAATGTGCTGACCATAAGAATAATTTGTTCTCCACGTAGAAAACAAATAAAAACATATTGTACTTCCTGGTACGCTCACATCATCGTGCAGCTTGATCATTTTTTTTTTTTTTTTTTTTTTTGGTCTTGCAAATGCTCAGCGGGTGGGATAGCGAAGTGTGTGTGTTTCTTAAAGCTATGTTTTTAAAACGAGTATGACAGGTGATTTTTACCAGTTTTTTTCTCATCGAGGGTTTATTTATGATCGGCTCTGTCTACGTAGATGACGGCAGGGAGTTGCAAGAAAAAATCAGCTAAAAGATAGAAATAAATGTTATTAAGAAACATTAGGCTTTATCTAAGCGATACCTAATGTATAAAATGCATTTTAAAAATGAAAAATCTTTCTTGAAGCTTTTGTTTTAGCTTTAATTCCAAGCTAATATTTCCAATAAGCAAAATACTTTGTTGTATTTCAAACCGAATTTAAATTGATTCGAATGATTTTTTTCGTGAAATCACTAAAAACGTCCATATTGACAAATATGTCAAGACAAAACTCTCTATTAAAAAAAAATTTCAAAATAAAATATACTTTTCTGGGGAAGATTAACGGATTTAAAGTTGAATTAATCCGAATTAAAACAAATTACTTTTGATTTAAAAGCATTTTTAACACTGTGTTGGATGTTTTTATGAGATGTTGATAGATTTATCTATAACTTAATGTTTGGCATTTTTAAGTAAAGGACAGTTATCTGTAAAAATTAATTGAATACAACGTGAAAGCCTTATTAATTTAAAATCGATACATGTATAAAAATTGTATAATTTAGTACAAAAAAATATATTTAAAGAAATTTTAATATGTATAATTTCACGTATGTAGTTTAGTGGGTTTTTTTTTCTTCTTCAAGCTTGCTCTTGAAGCTAAATTTGAATGTGGTCAAATGTTTTCTGATGTTGGATTGGATATTTTCTGACGATGCATAGACTTTGAATTTACATTATTCTTTTCTCTACACACCTAATAAATGAATTGAAATGAATTTTGATTTTTAAGCAAGTTGAACTGTAAATACCCCTCGCTATTTAGGCAGTGACTGGCTAATTAATGCAGTTTCCTTTTTTTTCCAGGTTATTCTCTCGATGCCTCAAGATAAGTTCCCTGGAACCTCAGTTCGACGTTCCAAAAAATGTATTGGATCTCGTCTATACCCAGTCTCTTTCTTGGTGGGTGTTTATTGTTTATTTTATTTTATTTTTTTTGTTTTTTTTTTTTGTTTTTTTGTTTTTTGTAGTCATAGGCTTTGGATGTAGGGGGCTGAATCTTTGTAAATCGGCTATTTATATAGATAACATTTAAATTTTGATCCTTTTTGCTGATATAGTCTAACGTTCTTTTTTTTTCTTGATGAAGTTAAAAGATTTTCTAAGATAGCATTCTTTTGTTGGTACAGTAGCTAGTTTCAAAAAATTTTGCACCAATATTAGTCTCATTATTACAAGATCGGTTGAACGGAGTATCCAGTTACTTTAATACCGAAATAAACAAAATAAAATTAAGGGAATTGACCACACACATATTATAATTGCTAATGCCATCTTTGTCGGAGATATTTTTTACGCATACGTACAGCATCCATTACGTTTTGTTTAATATATATATTTGTTTATATATATATATATATATATATATATATATATATATATATATATATATATATATCGGTCTTGTTTGTTTGTTTTTATCTTCAGTTGGGCTTAACTTGAGTCCGGCAATTTTCTTTTAATATTCTACCAAGAGTTACACACGTGTTTCTAATACAACAACACGTAAATACACACATGGTCCTCTACAAAGCTCGGAGAACTCAATTCATACTTGAAGAAGAGTAATATTTAATAGCATTAGGAGCCGATGATTTGAAAAAAACCCTTTCTCTCGAGAGCTCAACCGGAAGTATGCATTGTCATTCACAGGCAGACTGTTTTTGTTGTATCACAGCTTCTCAGTGTTTCAAGCAGGGATCGAAACCCGACTGATTTGACATCAGTCAGATATCTTACCACTAGGCCATCGTCGTATGGCAGAAAGGAAGAATTTTAACTTTTTTTTTTTCTATACGAAATACCCCAGTGGCTCGGAGAACTCAATTTATACTTGGAGGAGCCGCTGTTTTTTAAAAATCCCTTTCTCTCTCAGCCGAATTGTATATATTGTCATTCACAGACAGACTGTTTCGCTGTATCACAGTTCCTCAGTGTGTCTAGACGTCCGATTGATTTAAGCCGGTATCGAAACCCAACTGATTCGACATCAGTCAGATATCTAAGCCATCGTCGCATATATATATATATATATATATATATATTAAATAAATACAAATGTCTAAGTAGATTAGAGACATGTCAATAGAACTTAAATAAAATCAAAGTTTTGCGGCAATTATTAACTTAAGTTATTATTTTGAGTCAAAGACATTACTTTTCGAATGTGTGCAGGACAAAGTCAGGTGAATTATAAAAATCTTTACACCATCATTCCATTTTATTTATTTATTTTTTATGTTGTTGCTGTCGGTTTTCCACGCTGTAATTCTACCCGAACGTGTCTGTCATTGATAATTTCGCTTATAAGTATCAGTAAATTGGTGTGGGGGAGATAGAGAAAAGCTTATACTTATACTTTTCAGTTGATTTTAAATGTATTCTTTATTTTATAGGTTGGGATTCTTTTTTGCGCCTCTTTTGCCCTGTATGGTTTTGCTGAAGTTTTTTGGCACGTTCTATCTTAAAAAGGTAAACATCCAAAAACTACAATTCTTAGATATCAATGCTGAAGAAAAAAAAGTTATTGCGATAAAAGTTATTGTGAAATTTGTAAATACTTCCTTAATCTTTGGGAAAAGGTTAGGAAAATTTTGTAAATCAGCAGTCATTTTCTGAAGATCTGACATTTTCATCATCTCATCTGATTTTCCCGAATACCTGATACACAATCATCTTTTGTTTACATACACTAAACTTGATACACCACCGTTTACCTATACAAATGTCATACACAAAACATTATTTTTCTTCGAATTCCTGATACATCGCCATCTTTGTTTACATATACACCATTGAATACATGCTACTGGATGGCCTTACCGGCAGCTGCTCTGAAACAACCATCTAAAAAGTGGGGGATGAGTGTTAATCCCAAAGGTTTACTACATGGAATGGCGATTTGGTAATTGCAAAAAATGAAATTAATCTGAAAGAAATAATTAAAAAAATAACTGGCAATAAATTTTATTTAAGAAATTAAATTAATGTATTCTAAAATTTACTCTCAATCCATAAACTAATACGTTCCTTCATTAACTGTAGCCCACAAAGATATTTTGTAAGTTACCTACCATTTATAATTATTTGATTTATTGTTTCGAAAGAAAATAATTTGCTGTAAATTATTTCTGAAGCTTTTTGGGGATTACCACTAGTATATCGATCTAGTGAAAATTACAGTTTGCGATCATCTGAATTTTGAGACATAATGAAAAAGGTAGCCAGAAATAAATGATTCTGAGATTTAATATCGTTTGAACACTGATCTATATAATGGATCAACCACTAAGAAGTCTTAAAGAATTTGCCTTCCGCTAACCATAGATAGCAGTTGGTGAATCAAAAATATGCATAATGCTGAGAAATAAACCGGTTTCTACAAATAGGGCAGGTTTATTTGCTTTCAATATTTTTTAGGAAATCAACATTGCACTCGATACGAAGACTGGAGTTTGAGGTTATAACTACGTCTGAAAAAAATATACAGAAATATCGAATTTTCACAGGTTTTTGCTTACAAACTGATTGAAAATTAAATTCAAACCAGAATTCGAATTATGAATCCCCACAAGTAAAATATGCAATTTTTTTATTTTATTCGACAAGTGAAAACTGTAAAAATTCTAAAATATTAGAAAATAGGCTAATCAATTTGTTTGTATTAATTATGACCTAACAAATGGCGTAAGATATTAATCTTACACTATTTGTTAGGTCATAATTAATAAAAATCAAATAGATAAGTATATATAACACCATAATATTGCTAGGCAGAAATTACATCATAATATATCTCAATTGTTCAGTGTAATTACCCTTTGAACGAAATGGTCTTATTTGATGGTACAATCATTTAATAATAATGTGTTTAGGCCTTGTTTCTTGTTCATATACAATTTGTGAAGCTTCAATAGTTAATTTAACTGCTCTGTCCTTGTGAATATTCGGGTAAATTTTTAAGTCCAACATAGAACCGCTTACAGTTCATTATTTGAAAAACCTTTGTAAGCACAGGTTAACAAAGTCCAAATTTGATTAGTGTGTTGCTTCAGTTGATGAATGTCATTTTTTTTTCATCTCTTCTCTTCTTTGATGGCTCACTACTTTTGAAACAAAAACAAAAAATTATTGGAAAATTTACCCATAGTTGGTTATACTTTTTTGATGAAATTTGAATTAAATTTTAAAATTAGTCTTGTAAATTGACATAACTAATTAAGTATGAATAAGTTTACTTATTTAATATACAACTTTTTATAGCCTCTTCCCTCGCTTCTAATTCATATGACAATTCAACACTGAAAAAAGAATATTTTCTAGTAGGAAGGCGAATGCATTGAGCTGTAATTTTTATAAATGCAACATTCTGTATTTCGGTCGACTGTTGCTTTATTCTTGGGGTCATCTTGAAGATCTACAGTTGTTGGTCATGGAATGTATTATTCCTTTTAATTTCAAATTAACCGCATATATTTCAATTATAAATTTTATGAGGTTTTCACTGATCACGGAAATAAATTCCAATGTTCCAATTTTGAACTTAAACTTAATCTTTCCTTAAAAATGTGCAGGATTTGAAAAAATATTGACATTATTTATCATGCCAAACATCAACTTTCAAACTGAGTACAATACCACGGTTCCAAAATCGATCTGGCTTATAACTTGCATTATAAAAACCAGGCCAATATTAATATATTTGATATTTCTATTGGTTCCAGTTATACAGCTGATCAAGGCAACCGAGACTGCGGCTTCAACACTGCATATATAAAGAAGTGAACGTACAATAGGAATTATTGTTTTAACTTTCAAAAAAATACGCCAAATCTATTATATGACATATGGTTACATTACACCTTATTAAAAACAAGCTTAAACCTATTAATTTTGAATTGCATTCAAAATTAATAGGTTTAAGCTTGTTTAAAAGATACATTTACTGTCCACCTACTTTTGGAGCACTCTGTATACCGATTTTCTTCCTTGTCTAATTTCTTCCATGCTATGTTTGCATCTCGTAGTCTTGGTAGGGAAAATGACAGAGCAATGCAAAAAGAATGTATATCCATGTTTTGTAGATTATGCAAAATAGTTTGATAATGTACGCCACAAAGAACTATTTGAACCGCTAGGGAAGCTTTATTTATTCGGGAAAAGATATTAGAATAATTCAGAACTTAAACTGGGAGCAAACTATCTGCATAGGGGGGGATAGAAAATGAATTCAGTAAATACACAAGTAGAAATGGGTATAAGACAAGAATGTATCTTTTCACTGGACCTATTCAACCTTTACTGAGAAAATTAGAACTTTTACTAGGATTCATTATTGGGGGCCACAATCTTAACGTAAGATATGCAGATGACATAGTATTGATAGCAGGTACAGGAAGGAAACTACGTGTAGTAAAATGAAGAAATAAACATCAATTGTAAGATAGAATATATGGTTGTCAGCCAGAGGAACATACCAAGACACGTGAACTACGAATTGGAGTCACCTAAATCAAGCAAGTGCGAAAATGAAAATACCTGGGAAGTTTTTTTTTTTTTTTTTTTTTTTTACTGAGGACAGAAAATATGACATAGAAAACTGAAGGTGCATACCCTGTAAAAGCTAAGCAAAGTATTAATGATTGATTCATTTTATACGGCTTATTAGCCCTTTGCAGATTATTTAAATCCAAATCTATTTTTAGATTGCAAGATTTTTTTTATTTATTTTTGAGATAATAACGGTTTAGTCATACAAGTCTCACTGTGGGAAAGCAGTGGATTCATACCTCTCCCAAGTGTATTTGCGCCTAAGTGAATATAATGAACACAACGAGAATTAGAACTCGGCTCTCCGATTAACAATTTCTAGCCGTTACCCATTACACCACCCACACATCCAAGCTTACAACACCTGGTATTCCCAAAAGGCTACTTATCTAGATATTGACCAGGTTCGATTTTGCTTAACATCGATGTTCAGTGTTTCAACGTGATGTGGCCATAAACCTGCAAAGTTATTAGAAACAAAAAAATGTACTGAAATGTTATGTAATATCAAGTGATCCTATATGGCACTGAATGCTTCACATATGAAGAGATTGTAGTTTTACAGAAGGATGCTGTGAATACCATGGACTGAACATGTGAGCAATCACGACGTTTTAGGACAGATGGAAACAAAAAGTGCACTTATACTAAACACTTGAAAGAAACAGTTTAAATTTCTATGGCACAATGTGGAAAGACAGCTTGGAAAACACTTACAGAATATATATTAAAGTTAAAGAGGGACAGAAGAAAGCAATGAATAACATAGCTGACGAAATTGTGCAAATGGTTCGCCAACCAACATTAAGAGACAGCAAACCTTACTAAAACTACAAAAGACAGGAAGTTGTGAAGAGCCCTGATCACCTAAGTCCTGAAGGTTCACGGCACAAACAGAAGTCTCAGTTGTAAAATGTAAAAAACAAAACAATCATTGCGATAAAAAGGAACAAACTTTTCAAAATGTAGTAACGGAAATATTCATCTATGAAATTCAGAAAACTAAGTGTAACGCCCATTTATAAACAATGCAATGATTATTTATCAAAGAATGTACACACGCTGTAAATCTGAAAGATGACCCCCCCCCCATTTAAGATCTGCCCCTAATATAGCCATAGTTGAGTACAAAATGATATCTTTTCAGCTTTCAGCCCTCAAGTGGTGTGCTGCCCTCGAAAAGCCTTACAAGGCTTCCAAGTCGCAGTCTTTGTTTGCTACAGTCCTTATGATCTCATTTTTTTTCTGCTGTTTACCAATTGGGTACATAATCTGCTAGTAAGCATATTTTTAAATTTACTTGAATTATTTCAATTTTTTCCAAATTTATTTTTTTCTTTCGCTGAAGTCAACATTCATTTCGAAAATAAAGAGTTTTCAATGAATTTTCGCAGTGTTCCTCCATCCAGAAGCTGTGGCCCATTTCGTGTCTACAACAATATGTATGACATACTGACTATCACTGTAGAACTTTGGCCATTAACCGCATCTATGATCGTCCGGTTCCTCTCTTCTAGTGCCTTCATATTGACTATAATAGTCATTCTGATGTAAGTATATTTTTAACAAAACTAGTGTTGTGGATGCCTGCTTTTTTTTTAACTTTTACTTCAATGTTGCTTTTGCATTAACCTACAATACCTATGTTTTCAGTGTTTCTTTCTCGTGTGATATACTGCAGGTGTATCTATCAAAATGAGGATATTGTGCCAAACGTTAATGATTATTCACTGAATATTTTCACTTGGAACTTTTTCGTTTAATTTTTCTCCTAGAATTTATGTAATATTCATAAAATAATTGAAATAGCTAGCGTTTAAAGAGGTATGACAAAACCCACATAAGCTCAACATTCATATTATATATATATATATATATATATATATATATGAGGTATCTGAACTAAAGCCACCAAAAATGAAATCTAAAATAGCATTACAAATTTGTGAATCTAGTAGAAAACACATCACGAGGTAAACAAAAAATTATTATAACCAGTTGTTATATATGGTTTGAGAAAATATATAATATATATATATATATATATATATATATAGATATATTCTTTCAAAAACTTTAAAATATATAAATTATAGTTCGTATGTATATAAATAAAAGAAACAAACAGTAAAGCCAGTAAAATTTTAAAAAATATGTCAGCTCGTCTACAAAAATCTATCCCAAGATATTCCTTTTCCTCAAATACAAAAAAAGACTCTAAATAACTGAATCTATATACTTTGATATGGAAAATAATTTACTTAAATCAAATTTTCTTATAAAGTAATATAGTTTCTAAACAATGAAAAATATTTTAAACTTGCAATTTTGGCATTTAAAATAAAAATTGAACAAATTTCTTTTAAATAATACTACACGCATTAAAAAGAATCCAAAATAACACCTATCTAAAATAAAATTAATCAAAATCCATAACATGTAAGTTTTTTGAATGACCCATGTCCTCAGTACTTACATGGAATATTTTACTGAATCAAAATTAAGAACCATTTCTGCCGTCATATATATACAAAAAAAAAAAAAAAAAAATATATATATATAAACTATATATATAATATATATATATATATATATAAAAATATATATATATAAAAAAAGTAAAAAAAAAAAAAAAAATCTTTTAATTTTAAAAGATGACGTAAAATTTTTTACCGTTAACAATTTTTTTTTTTTTTTTTTTTTTTTTTAAATTCAGACGACATCCATTCAACCGACGTCAGGTTTCACAAAATTTTTACCAAAATGTAGCTAATAAAAACAATTTCATAAGGAAAATCTAAATATACATGGAAATTTTAGCTGTTCCCGGTAAATTTTAAAAGTTACCAAAATTATTGGATAAACTAAACCTAAAAATAAAATTAGGGTTTTTAAATTTTTGAAACATGGTTGTTAGCGAAAATAAAACCATATTTTAAATCAATTAATTTATAAATTATATTCTAAATTTTACCATAATTATTGAAATTATATTTACTTGTTAAAATATTGTATGCTTCTTTTCTTATATAATATATTCTAATTTCATATTTAAGCAACATTGTATGCTATCTCTTCTGAATTATGAAACTTATTGTCTATAGATTAAATTAGAGAAGATTGAGAAAAATAAATATTATCCATCAAAACTTACTTGCTTCTAAATATTAAACATTACGTTTTTTAAATCAAACATTGCTTTTTATTTGCTGCGACTATTGAATTCTAAACAATTAAATTTGATTTTTGTTCTGTCCTTTCTTTTTTAGATTGTTTCTATATCACTGTGCACAGAGAGGTTCAGCTCAAAACGAGACAATTAAGTTACTTAGAAAACAACTTAACGCGGTAAGAAATAAATTAACTTTATCTTAAAGTTTAAATGAGTATTAACGCTTTTACATTATTTCCATTATTTCATTTTGAGACATTAACAGAATGTAACTACAGTTTATTTTGTTCTTTATTTATTTATTTTTGTGATGTCCCCACTTTGTGACAAATTTCACTGGTAGTTAACGATTACAAAAATAGCGACCAGTAAGCAATATAATTTTTCTCTCAAAGATTTTATTGCAAAGAGTGTATATGTTATCTATCAACACAGATTCAAAAACAAGTGTCAATCTGTCTTGTTCAAACTGTTGAAATTCGTTGTTCGCCGGATTCTATGTGTGCCTGTGTCTACTTTGCAAGTTAAAAGAAAGTGTTACACAGAATACTTGATTATCGTGATTGGTTTCATATTACAACAGCAATCATGAAAGAAGCGAGAACGTATGGAGTTCTATAGAACTTACTTTGAAACAATCGGGCTCGGTCATTTGCAATTTAAGGGGGGGAGACGTATTTTAAGAAGCCTGTTCTCTTGATGTTCCACCCTATCAGAAAGAGACGCCACTTGTTGACTTTTTCGAATTACTAGTATTGTTCCCTTTTCCTTTTCCATTTTTTTTTTTTGGGGGGGGAGCATACTGCTAATATTACCTTTCTTCAAACATTCACTAATTTCGACCCACAACGCTATTTCTACTTCCAGTGGCTTTGAGGAAGAAGTTTTTCTCAGTTTCCATTTCTTCATGTATAGTCTTAAATATCTCAATATTTGGAGGACATCCAAATATTCTTATCTCAGCATACATTATTTATTCCTCTCTATCAGAAATGAATCACACTTCATTTTTATCCGGTCTTTTTTTCCACCTCTCAATTTAATTGAAGAATATTCTAAACATCTGCCAAACCTAATATCGTTCCTATCTTTCTCTCTTCTCTCCATTTTCTTTCCAACATTCTACCTTTCTTGACCCAATCTTAATGTTTTTCTGAACAGTCAATGTGAATCAAACTCATTCCCTTTATGTTGAATGAACAAAAAAATCACCTATTAATTACTTAACCTAACCGTTGTTACTGATACTAGCTTGTAAAATCTAATACCATCACTCTCTTTAGAGGTGATGAATGATTATATTACACAAGGAAAAAAATGAAAATAGTGTTATGTCATCGTGTTCAGAATATTGGAGGCCTACAAAAAATGAAAATGACTCGAAAAAGTCAAGCGAAAGAAAGAGCGGCAAGAGAGACAAAAGCGAGAAATCTTGTGTGGTGACAGTACAGAACAATCATGAAATGAAGGCGAAGGGGATAAACCTAATACCGAAAATAAAATACAACAAAACATTCACACTAAAATAAAATATGTTAGTAAGACCTGTTCAGTGTCTACCCCCACAGAAAAATAAGAGCGGCCACTGCCAATGATCTGAATCAAGCAGCTCCCTGGCTAGAGTCGAAGGGAAGACAGAAATAAATTATGGAGTGGGAAAATCAAAGCCTGGTCCAGTCAAGATAAAAAGGGAGAGGTTGGGAATCTTGACAAGGATCATAACAAAAGAGAATGCCGGAAGCAGACCGGGAACAACAATTACATTAACTAAGTGAACAAAGAGTCTAACTTAACCAGGAATGGGGTCTATCAGGAATCAACCCCGTTGTGGCTATAGGTGACTAAGAAAGAAGATTGGCCCGATTCACACGAACCAAATTTGCCACTTTTACCCACCTTTCGCAAAAAATGGCCAGTCATATCAGTGATGAATGCAAGTTTACAAAGAATAGATCACTTAATTCAAACAAGTTTTTATTGCCAAGAAAAATCCAATCTCGTCTCTCAGAGCTAAAACAAAAACTCTTTAACAATCCTCCAACTTTTCTTAAGAATGGAACAGCTCTCCACATTCACTATCTATAGTAGAGAATAAGAAAATGAACTGTAGAAGGTTGATGAATTTTGCTCATATAAAATTGATAGTTTTTCACAACCACATTTTCCATTCACAATGTTTTCCAACACAGTGTAATAAGACTATGCAGATGGTTACACTAAGACTATTTGTGTCCCCCTTTTTTTTTTGAATGCAACAAACTAAACCCACTTTTCCAGATCACATTGAAGGTGCGCACTATCTGTTGCCACTGATAGGTCTTGACCAATAAAATCCTGCAAGCTCAATGCTCTTTTCTAATTTACTAAATATATCCTTACCAGTTACTGTTCCCTTCAAAAGTAGTAATCTAATAAGTCTTCAGTTTGTCGATTGTCTCTAATAAAGCATAAGTAATACCTGTAATGTCTATCCTTTCATCAAGTACGATGGAAAAAAATCCTGCACAATGGTATTCATCTGAAGGTATTATGCGATATGCTGATGCTTTCAAATATTTTTCTTTTCTCGAGACAGAATTTCTAGCCTTGAAAAGGTAGTTTTAATAAACTTTTTGTGATGATTTTTCGATCATTTCGCTAAGCGTACAACTTGCTATTACAGCCTTTTTACTTATGTTGTCCAAGTTGAAAAAATGTACTTGCTTTCACCTCATGTACCTGTCCACACCAATATGAGGTCAAATTTATTCCTTTTCTTGATATTAAAAAAATCCTCATTTTGTGTATAGTCTTTATCATCTCAGCTACATCAAGATATTCCACGAGATGCGATTTAGATACACTTAGTCTAGGAGTTACAATAGAAAATAAGAAGTATTAGTTGAAAATTATTCATTATTACATTAATAATTTATAAATGATAAATGTTGCGAAATAAGCAATGAATATCGACACCATTCTACTTTTGGTGTGTGCGTACAGTGTGTATATATACCTGAATAGGTTGGCATGTAATTTCGTTTTACAATAGTTTTGCTTTTTGTTTCAATTTCTATTTTTGAAGCCACACTGATTTCTTTTTTTTTTTTTTTTTTTTTTTCAGGAAAGGAAAGAAAAGTTTTATTTTATGATGGAAGCGAATAACACGGCCACAATTGTAGCAGAGAATAAAGCATCAAGAAAACAGTAAAAACAAAAACAAAAAAAATCGTTTATGGAGAGATATCAGGACATCAATAGAGAAATCCTTAGATTAGAACGATAGCTGAGAAGATACTTACTCTCAAATATCGTGTAAAAAACATCAATCATCGACACACAATAGATAAGTTTATTTCGAAGACATTCTAATGAATCGCATATTTAAGATGTTTGTGAAACTTTTTTCCGTAACCAGATTTAAAATTACAGAAATTTTATCTAAGTATGGATCATGGGAGTGAATTTTATTATTATTCATTCTAAATACTGTCATAAATTAACTGGATTAAGATCAGAGGTAAATAATGAAACAATTAAAATGTAAATCACGTTAACTTTTCTAATAAAATTCCTACACCATCTTAAATTCGCTGTTTTCAATGCTGACGATTCAAATTTTTAAAAGTACATAAATGGTAGTATCTGTGCGTACACACACACACACACACACACACACACACACACTATTAAGCGTTGCTCCTTTTATAAGTAAAATTAACCTAAACACACAAATCATGCGAAACTTGGCTCACACCAATATTAACTTGAACTAGAAATTTTTTTACATTTTAGTACTCCTTCAAATCGATAGAAATGAAACCAACTTAAATACTTAGAAACACAGTAATGTTATGAGTTACGTGTTTATAATTTTTAGTGTGAAATTTGGTAAAGTAGAGGTAAAAAGAAAACGTTTGAAAACAAATCCGTGTTACAAAACAAATATGACATTGATAAATATATTTATGGTTGAATGATGATTAAACATAAAATTACTCTACATTCAAAATTGATTGATTTTATGGGGTGACTCTACACTTTCTTATTGCAACTTTATCAAATTAGTTGAATAAATATTTTCTTTTATTATTGGAACATAATTCTCTGCTAATTTTTTCAAAGTTTCTTGGCATATAGCTATGTAATGCTTTTGTTAATAAACTATATACCAAGCGATTTAAAATGTTGAAAAATGCTTTGAAATTCCGCTATTGAATATATTTTTTGTGTTGAGATAATTTGTTTTACAAAGGAGTTATTTGAACTACTCACTTGCAAAAGAATCTCAGTCCCTCTATTCCTTATTCTGGATTCGGTTTTTACCAAATTGTTGCTTACTCCACTCAACTGTGTGAAATAAAGTAAAATACTAAAGTACAGAATATATACTTTTATTCCTATTTTCCGTAAATCTAGGAAATATTTTTAATATTGATTTTTTTTTGAACAGGTGTAGAAGATTATCTCTCGTTTCCTGATTAGGATTGGGTTTCCAGTTCCTTCTAAATATTTATTTCCAGGTAAATGATGAACACCTGAGTGTTCATCCTGTTGGTAAAAAGAAAATTATCAGCAGCAAATATGATGTCATCATCACTACGATACTGGTTCCCAGCCAAGTGATTTTTCATATTGGGAAATAGATGATAGTCAAATTAGGAGAATGGTGGGTTAATCAACCAGTTCAAAGACACAGTCACGCACAGCAGCTATTGAAACCTGTGTACTGGAGAACTGTCCTGATAAAACAAGACCCCTTTTTAGTCAGTTTTCTTGGGCGTTTGGTCTTGCTTACCTTTTGTAATTACCTCGGGAAGTTGGCATAGTACTCTCCATTAATGGTGTGACCCTTTTGATGATAGTCAATAAACACAATGCCTTTTGTATCCCAAAATACTGAAGCCATCACCTTCCCTGCAGATAAAACAACCCTGGACTTCTTTCGAACAAATGACGGGGATTGATTCCACTGAATGGATTGTCTCTGGCTCAAAGTGATGAACCCTAACACTCATTTTGAGTAAGGAAATGTTCAAGGAAACTAGATGTCAGATTTTCCAGTGATATGATCAGCATGGTGTGTGCTTTTGATCAGGTATCAGAAGACATGACACAAATTGAACAGTAACGTTTGTCAAGACAAGTTCATTGTGTTGAATATTCTCAACTTTTTCACAGGATATGCTAATAGCATTTGCTATTTGATTTATAGTCAGTCGCCTGTCATTCATCACCACGTTTTTTCTCGATAGTGGCAGTTATAGAACATCTAGCTGCTGCCCTTTTTTTGCACTGGAGCATCATCCCCTAATGTAGCAACCATGTCAGAACGAATGTCTTTTCTTTCGCTTTTTTTGCACGTACTTGATACACCATGATGCTAAATTATCTCTATTTTCAAGAGAAATTTTTTCTATTAAGAGATCACAAGACTTCTTTGGACAGTCAGGTGTCAGTTTACCTGGAAAGAAACAATGCTGTCAGGAGAGATGAAATTAATACATGCAAGATTTCGCAGCTCTAGCAGCTTTCCTTTATAGTCAGCCTATGAACCTTTCAGTGAGCCTCGTACTTCAACTGTATACTTTTAATGTCTCTGCTTAAACTCTGAAATTTTATGTATTATTTTCCTCAATAGGAGTAAATATCCGGTTCACACTCCTCCCCGCGTGTTTTGACGTCACAAATGTAGTCCATGCAGTGAAACAGACAGTAATCATAATGTAACGAAAAATTGTAAGAAAAAAAAATGGTTTTAGAAAAACTTTTTAAAAATACATTTATAAAAGAAAGAAACAGAATTGGATTTTATACAGAAATTTATTTCATATTAATTTTAAAAAAATAACCGATAAGAAAAAAAAAAATTGTTGCTGAATGTTTTGTTAAAGTAAAAATTAAATTAAACATCATGTTACATTTCATTAAATTTTAAAGATTGAAATTCGTTCATTATTTTATTTGTTTCAAATTTGAAAACATTTTTAAAATCATAATCAGTATTGTTTTTTAATTTGCATGTTTTTTATCTTAATTTTAGTAATTATTCTGTAAAGTTACAATATCGTAAGTATTTAATGATTATTATTCTTACACTACAGAAACAACTCAATTATGAATGAGGAAACAAACAATCAGACGAGCAAATTACAAGTAAATTATAAATAAGAAACAAATAAACTAAATACAAGAAAAAGTAAATAAATTTGATACAAAAAAAGAGATTTAAAATTCAAATAATACTTATAGAAAAGTAGGTTACAGACAGACAATTTTAAGACTGAAAATTCGTTCATGATTTTAATTGTTTCACATTTGAAAATTTTTTATAAATCATAATCAACATTGTTTTAATTTGCATGTTTTTTTCATTTTAATTTTAATCATTATTCTGTAAAGTTACAATTTTTGTAATCATTAAGAAGATTATTACTCAAATACAGTAACAACTGAATTATGAATTAGGGAACAAACAATAATTAAATAAACAAATTATAATTAAATGATGAATAAATAAAATAATTATGATGAATAAATAAAACAATTAAACATAAATAAGAAACAAATAAATACAAACAAGCAAATAAATTAGATACAAACAATAAATAGATTTAAAAATCAAATAATACTTTCAGAAAAATAGGTTACTGATACAAAATTTAGCTGAATGTTTGAAGTTTTCTTTTTTTTTTTGCTTAACTTGTTACTTGTAATATTATTATTTTCCCTAGAACAAAAATTCTTTAAAAGAGCATTTGTAGAACTCCAGACAAACATTCTTTGTATTTTTCTATATTGTGACCCTCATCACAAGTGTCAACATCAAAAAAAAGCTCATAATCTGCCAAAACATTCAATGTTATATGCATGGCTATTTTTCTTTGATTTACTGAATGAAGAAAAAAAATGATTTTTTATAAGTTTATCAATGACTACATAATTATAGAGAACAAAATTTATAGTTTTATCATTAGGATATAAGAGAGAACCTCTATTAATCCCCTGAAAATAGCTGCTTATTATTTCAGGTATTTCTTCCACATTATCTCTTACACTTCCAGATATTAAATCTTTGCAACTATTGCATTTAATTTTCTTAAAAACTGCATTACAGCAATAACCTGCTAAGTATAGCATTACAGGTAGAACTTCTCTACAATTATTAACATCATCCTCTTTAACATCAATTCTATATTTATATATATAAACTTTCCTCCTCTGTCACTTCATCCCAGTTTGGTTCTTGTAAACTCTTTAAATCAATTTTAATGCATTGCTGATTAAATGGTAAGCTCAATTTTAAAGCTGATTGCATTCTAATTTTTTTTTTTCACACTCAAATATTTGACGTATCGAGATATTATACTGATCCCCACTAAGTTGTCGGTATTGACCAAACCTTGCTTCAAGGTGATCAGTTTGAAATTTGCCTGGTAATATGTACAGCATTTTCAGTTCTTCTATGCAATACTTGGTCAGTTCTAGAAATGCATAGGTTGTATGATGCAAAGCAGTGAAGGTTTCCTTTGTTAATTTGCCATTTCTTCCAGAAATGCTATTCCAAGATTCTAACCAGTCACAGAATACAGAGAAAATCTAAAATTTTCTTCATTCATTCTAAGTGGATTGCAGTATTTATTTCTAAGCCGACAACCTTTATATGGCGTTTTAACATTCATTATTGTCCACCAAATATAAAATATGTTTATATATTCTGCAACTTCTGCAAAATTAGGCAAATATTTCTGTTTTCCTAAAGTCAATAATCCTTGAATAGTATATTCATTAAAAATTTACAAAACTAAATTAATATTTTGCCTTTCAAGATTAGTAGGAGAAAGTGCCTTTGAGGTTAATTTATAACAATATTTCAAAATTGACTGAGATTCTAAGGCATGAAGTTTCTGTAAGGTAGAAAATGAGGCACTTTGGATACTATCTAATTCATGATTTCCATTATGACAAAATTTGGGGAACAGCATGCATTTATTTGCATCTTTTTGACCAAGCCAATTGTTTCTAATGCATTTTAATATATGGACTGAGTCAAAAAGGAAGAAAAGAGGTCGAGACTTTATAACTGGGTGTGGATATACAATGGAAAGCTTTGGAGGACTGCAAAAGAAAGATATAGCTTTTTTTTATTTATAGCATTATTATCTGTTATAATTGATAATACTTGAAAGCCTATCTCCTCTAAACCAATTA